CAAAAAATCATCACGTTTTTGGGGAACGCGCTTCACGGGCGCAGAACAGAATAATATCAGGATTGGGTTTCCGAAACCAGGACCCCGGCCCCCCTCCACCTCCTGGCCACCCCACACACACAAGCTTGTTTGCAGTCAGCGGCGCAGAAGGTCTTCCGGCGCGGGCAGCAGATGAAAGTGCGAATTGCGATCGATCATCGTCGAAAACGCAAAAAGAACAAAACGTCAGTCACTGACGTGCAAGGAGTGGTGGTGAAGTGTAACCGAGCGAGCGTGCAGCGGCAAGAAAGCCGAAGAGCACGTCCGAGCGATTTCGACCAAAGGTGAACTGAAGCGCGAGCAATCTGGTGCGAATTGCCACATAACCATCGAGCTAGCAATGATCGACAACGGAAAGAGCAGGTAAAACTATCAGACCAAAACGGCCGAGAAGAAACAGGGGGAGGAGGGAAAAACAACAGCGCAGAACACGCGCTGGATAAGGAAAAAGCTAAACAAACAAACAAACCAACATGCAGAAGCACAGGCAGACGGCCGATTGTGCCCCTGTGCTGGCACCATTGAGCGGAGAAACTGTCACACGGCCACCTCCGCCATCGCAAGTAAAACGATCTGCGTGGTTAAAATATTACCGCGACCTTTGTCCAGGGTTGTTTGTCGCCCACCGCGGGTACGGTTGCTTTATACTACGATGACAAAGCCACTCTATCAACATTGCAACCGAACTCTGACAATGCGAGATCGCTTCACCCAAAGGATACTGCATTGGCGCGCGCGTTGTAAACAACTGGCCGACAAATTGGGCCGAAGGGCTCTTCTGCCTAACCTTGGAACAGTTACCGCACAAGCGAAGAACTCATAACATGAGCGACAAGGCTAATCCAACGGGGGGGTATCAGCCCGCGCAGCAACCTTCGAGGGGAAAGCCGCCGAGATGGGGACATCCCAAATTGTCTGAACATCAACCCCGAGCTGATGTGCCCCCAACGGTTCGGGGATAACTTTTTCAGACCCAAGGCAACTAACAAAATTGTCATAAAACCATGAAGCCCCTGGGCCCCACAGACCTGTGAACGCCCGCGCGTCGAGATACGTCGCGCCCTGGCGCGCCCTCAGGAAGCCTGTCGCGAGGCAAAACAAAGGAAAGGCCATGTGTAAGCACTTCTCCCCGAACTCGTTCCACGTCGCCCGCCATGCCCGCAATCGCGCTGGAGCGCAACCGTTTCTGCTCCGCGCCCCCCAGCAGAGTGACGAGTCCCAGCCCGCAAAAAACAAACAATTAGATTAGCGAGTTGCAGCCTCCCCAAACGAGGTGCGCCAGCGTTTGAGCCAAGGGCGCACGCGCTCCTCCAAAACAACGGCGCGCACCCTGCGAGATTCTTCCCCCGGACAGGGGTCGGGAGAACTGCGTCGTTGCGGAAGATGGAAACGCGCAGAGAGCAACGCCGGGCGAGGCGACAAGCGGCCGAGCCGAAACACGGCAGGGATCGGCCGGGACAGCAGGCCGAAGTCGTGCACTGGAGCTACCAGACGCGCAAGATCCCCGCAGCTGGGCAGGTGCAGCTGACCCAGGGAAGCACGCCCACAGAAGCAGGCAGCAAAGCGCGAGAGGCGCGCAGCTGCTCGGGCGGCAGCACGGTGGTGCCGCCACAGGCGAAGACTCAGCCCGCGGCGCACACGGGCTGCAACGGCCCTGGGTGGAGCCAGGCAAGCACGCACAAACACACACGCACACACGCACACACGCACCCACACCCACACACACACACACACACACACACACACACACACGCACACACGCACACACACATACACAAGCACGCAGACACCCCAGTCCACCCCACGCGCAAGCGGGCAAAGCAAGAGCTACGAAATCCACAACCCCGCTCCCATTTCCTGAGGCACGGATGGAACTGGGGGGTACGACAACCCCCTCCACTTTCCAGGGTGGTGTAAGAGATGGGCTCCTAGTCCCTCGTCGCCCCAACATCCAGCAACAAACTGCGCTCTCTACGTCTGTGGCATAACCGTCAGTGGCCCTATCCGCTCGCCTTTCACGCGTTCGTGCTAACCTAACTCCCTGCGTGACCCGAAATGGTTCAGAACCTGGCTGAAAGAGTCTCTGGAGCCCATTTGCGGGTGTGCTTACTTCGGGGGCGTCGATAGGGGCGAATAGCCAGGGGGCGGGCGTTACACGTATTCGCCAGGGAGCCTCACCGAAGGCATGCACCATCGGCGACCCTGGATACATGTATCGGGGATGGACAGAACCCCCTTTAGCAAAACGTGGTTTAGTGAAAACGACCTCGGGCCCAAATCTGGCGGGCGAAAGCCTGGAAACTGACGGCCACGGCGCCCTCTCGAGAACCGAAAACGGACAATTCACTAATCGACGTGTCACTATTGGGGGTTCTGTCCAGCCCCGAATGTATTGCTCCCCCCTGGGCTATTCGCCCCTATCGTCGCCTCCGATGATTTTGCATCATTCGTCGCGGCGCCGGCCGTCGCCCGGCGCGTCCGAGCGACTATTGGATTGCAGCGCGGTGAAATTCCACACACACACACAACACACACACAACACACACAACACACACACGCACACAGACGAACGCACACGCACACACGAACACACACGCACACGCACAGACACAACCGAGGGCGCGGCGACGCAGAGGAGGGCAACGCAGGAGGGAGGGAAACGGGCGGCGCACTCGGACCGTGCAGGAGTTCGAGCGCAGTGAAGCGGCTACAGGCTCCTGTTAGGTGTCGTGCCATGGGCCGACCAAACACCCTGACACCAAGAGAGCGTGGCAGCGTCTCGAAGACGCCCTCACGAGTGATGGTGGGCGGCGACGATCATGGCGGAGAGTGCGTCCAAACGACCGAAGACGTAAATCCATCTACGCCCGCCGTTGCCGCGAGCATAGCGCGCGTGTGAAGCATGGCCAGTGCACCAACTCGATCGACGAAGCATGCCCACAAGGCAGTGCGTCCAAGAAGTGCGCCGAAGGCCCAATGCCCCATGGGGATACCCCAAGTGAACGACGTTCTAAGCCCAAACGCAAAGAACAAAAGAGCACCACTCCAAAGCTAGGGTGTTTTTTATCTTCGTACTAGGCTGTTGCGTCTGAGGCTCTCCCCCCATCACCTTCCCCCCTCCTTCCCCCCCCCCTCTGACACGCCAGCCAACATCGAGCCATGCAGAATTCAGATCAAACGTGACCACGAGATATTGGTCATAAGGCAACCATGGGCCACCCTGAGGCTCGCCGGGGCCCATCGTTGGAGCCATTCTGGCCAGCGGGTCATCTTGGACCAACTTGGGCCATCTTAAATCCAACTGGGACCAAGTTGCACCTCCCCTCCCTTCCATGTTGCACTTGTGCTGATTTTTCTGCAGCTGACATCGATCAATTTCTGCGCAAGGCGAAGATCGGACCAACTTCGGATCGCGACAGATCTGGGGATCCTGAGATTTGGCGGGCCTGGGATAACGAAAAGCATGCACGCGCGTACGCTGAGGCAAAATGCGAATGCGACTGATGACAAAGATGGGACTCCAGGAGTCAGCGAAGAGTGAAACATACCTGACATATTGTTAGAGATTTGAACTGCTGTGTTTGACGGCGCGTCCCTCTTCTGCCTGCCTCTTCCTGCTGAGCCTCTGCTCGCTGCGCACCATGCCCCGTCATGAGCCTCCCGCGACCCTGGACAGCGGGGCCGGCCCGACAGACGCTCCCCGCAGTACCGCGCTGCACGACACTCCCTGCATGGCAGCTGAACGAATCGGCGAGGCAACGCAGCATCTCTAGACAGGCGCCAGGACGGCGCATCGGCAGCGGAGCGCGCTGCCAAACAATCAACAGGTAACCAAAGGCCGCCGCATGCACCACTCAGAACGTGCACGGTGGCAACAAGCGGCGGGCGAAAATTATGATCCATTGAACAAAATTGGAACGTCGACTCAAAACTCGAACCCCGAACTCGGAATCCCCGCCTCGAATTCGTGCTTCACTGCTCGTTAGGGGTGGACTGGCTCGGGGGGGGCATCGAGTCGGCAACGGGGATGCATCGCCGATAGATCAGCAAAAAGCCCCCCATGGCAAATCCACACGCTCATGGGCGGGGCGGGCTATCGGGCCTGCATCGGCGATCAATGGGCGTTGGGGGGTCGATGCATCCCCACCTGAGCCCGCCCCCTCCTCACGTTGCCCCTGACGTGTCAGCGTTTAACATCAAGGGCTCCGAGGCGCGGGCAATTGACTCAGAGCTCTCGCGCCGCCTCCCACCCCCGGGAGACAAGAGGACGAGGGGCGACGAGGAAGAGGGATGATGAACATCGTTCAACCGATCCCTATTCCCACTGGCACGGCCTCTGGCCCCACTGACCTTGGGCAAGGCTGTGGGCTGGTCCCTTCGGGTTTCGTGGGCCCGATTCCCAGCAGGGGGAGTAGGATAGTGGGGTTGAGATACCATGGCCTGGAGGGGATGGGGGTAAGTGAAACGATACTGCGAGGAGGGCGGGGCAGTGAGATCCCCTCCCCTCTGTTCCCTTCCAGGGAGCCTGGCTATTCCGGCCATCGCCGCCGTGGCTTCCACCGCCGCTGCCGCGTCCTGGCGCCCTCCTTCGGCTGCGCGGCGAACTCCGCCCCATGGGCCGATCAAATGGGAAATTGGCGGGGCGAAGGGCCCAGACCGCGAACCGCGGACAGCTTCGCGCCCTCACAGGAGCCCTCTGAGCTCACGCCTCCCCGCTCGGAGGGCGCGCCGCAGGAACGGCCCGCAGAACACTGCACACCCCCCCCTTCTGACTGCCTACCAGACCACCCCAACCCAACCCGAAGACCCGAATGAGACTCGAATTTCGGCTTGGGGGGTGAGGGCTCCATGTGCTTTTTCCGTGTTCCCCGATCCCCCCCCCTGGAAATGGAGGGCAAATTGAGGCCTTCGGGTTGCGTTGGGATGGCTTGGTGGGTGGTGACCCTCCCCCGGGGTGGCACCTCGGCCGTGTCCCGCGGCTTGCCGATCACCGCGAACAGCGCCTGCGCGGGGCCACTCCCAGGCGCCCGTGCGCCCGCGAGGGCACCGACCACACCTCCGAGCTCGGCCCTCGGGCGCCTCTGCCGGGACCCGGGAGCATCAAAAACCGCTCTGGCGCGAGCAAGTGCCCTGAAGGGGCCCCAGGGCACACAAAGAAATGCACACACATAAAAATATTCTGGGTTTCTGTCTCCCCCCCACTTCCCATTTTTCCAATATTTTCCGAGGAATCGAGGATTAATTGTGTCTGTCTGTTTTTCCCTCTCCTGATGCCCTCTGGGAAGCGGGCGGGACCTCCAGGGCCGCGAAGAAACGGATCGGCGGATGTAAGTGGCGCGCTCCGTTTGGAGCCCGCTTCTTACTACTCGCGCTAACGCCCGTGACCGGCCCCGCCCCCCCCCCCCGGGTCCCACCACCCTCCCTGGTCACGCCACGACTCACGCTGGCGTCGTCTGGGAACTGCCCATCTCCAGACACTCCCAGACAGTATCGGCGTGAATCGTCACGTGTCACGCCCGCTACCGCCAGGGGATACATTTACATTAGCCTGGCGAAGGACCCAAACAGGTGCAGTCGTGAGTACCGCAGTTGAGGGTATCGTCTTGGGTGGGGCTCCCTATGGGCCACGAAACGCTGTACTGGGCGTGGGAGACGCATGCGAACTTTGCCACTGAGGCCTTACCAGGACCTGGACCTGCCTATGGGGCCACGAAGCGCCGTGATGGGTGGAGGGGACGCACGTGAACAGCCCATTGGGGCCTTCGGTGGGGCGCCCAACGGAGGGCCGTGCTGGGTGGGGGAGACGCATCTGGATACCGCTTCTGAGGCCCTCTGTGGAGCTCCCTTTAGGGCCACGACCGCTGTGCAGGGCGGGGGGGGGTTCGCATGTGACCACCGCCACTTGGGGCGGTCGGTGGAGCTCCCCATGGGGCCACGAAGCGCCGTGCTGGACGGTGCCGTTGAGGCCTGCAATGGAGCCCCCTATGGGGCTACCAGAAGCTGTGCTGGGCGGGGGAGACGGAGGGGGAAGAAGGAGGAAGAGGAGGAGGAGGACGGGGAGGCGGAGGAAGAGGAAAAGGAGGAGGGAGGAGGTAAGAGGAGGAGGAGGAGGAGGAGGAGGAGGAGGAGCAGGAGGAGGAAGCGGAGGAGGAGGAGGAGGAGGAGGAGGAAGAGAAAGAGGAGGAGGAGTAAAGGGAGGAAACGGGGGTAGGCATAAAGTAGGAGGGGAGAAAAGGAGACCCCCCCCTGGCGGGGAATCCGGTTCGCGTGCCTCCCGCGTCTCGTTCTTGATCATGAGGCGGATTTCTGCGTCCTCGGCCCAGGTGGCGGGCGGCAGCCAGGCGGAGAGGCTCACTTAGAGGAAGAGCAAGGGCGCACCCTGATCCTCCGCCTCCTCCTCCTCCCTCATCCTCCACCCTCTTTCCTTATAAATTCGCCGGCCCAACAGGCCAGAGGCGTGCTAAGATCTCCGGTAACTACTTTGACCTACTTAGGAGGAGGGCGAAGCCTTTCGGATAAGTGTCGATCTGACGCCTGATTGCGCCAGCTGGTGCTACAGAAGCGCACGTGTCATGGCCTGGGGGTCCGCGTATGCGGGCAGTGCGGTGCGCAACCTCCTGTGATTGATCCCGCTCCGGATTGGAAGTAGCACTGGAGAAGCATGATCTGTGCAGCAGGAGGCTAGCGCTGGGTAGTCAGTGAGTGGGTGTGCAGGGGTGTGTGAGGGAGAGAGAGGGAGCGAGAGAGTGAGAGAGAGAGCGTGTGAGAGAGAGAGAGAAAGAAAGAGAGTAAATTGTCGCAGGCTCCGCATCCCAACTGATGCGCGGGTCTGCGTACTGATGCCGATATGTCTTGTGATTCGCGCGGCCGGCATCCCAACTGATGTCCGCGTCGTGTTCCTTATTGGGCACCGAGCCCGTTCTTTGCGCAAGCGGCCCACTCCCGTGCATCCCAACTGATGCTCGGGGGTTGAGTCGGGCTCGGGGTGTCACGTCCCCGCGCTGCTGATGTGCTCGGCCCGCACGAACAGGTATTACTGATCATTTTTCCTCCCTCCCGCCCAACTGCGGGCGGTGCCCGCGCCACACTGTGCTCGTTTTTCATTCATCCGCCCTCCCGCCCAATTGCGGCTGGGCCACGCGCTCGTTCGGTCCCCGGCTCCCGAGGCACATCGCCAGCACGGAGTAAGGGGGTTCCCTTGCCGCGAAGCTGGGGGGCTTCCCTGCCAGGAGGGCTGGACAGAGATCTCCCCCTGATGCTGGGGCAAAGCATCTAGGCAGGGATAACAAGATTTCTAGTTCGCGCGCGCGGGGCGGCCCCTGGGGGCCCCCCGATGAAAAATACCCCGGCTGACCCCCGGCCGGGTCCCGGGCGATCCCCAGGGGGGAGGCTATTTTTCGCCACCCCTCACGAGGATCGTGGCCTCCGAGGGGGTGGCTGCAATCGACTACCCCCCCTCCCGCCCCAAGGGGCCCCCAAGAGCCCCCCAAGAGGCCCCAGGGGAGCCCAAGACGCCGCCAAGGAGCCCCAAGACGCTCCCAAGAAGCCCCCAAGAGACCCCAAGACGGCCCCAAGAGGCCACAAATAGCGCTCCAGGGCCGGCGGAATGAGCGAAGCGATTAGTAACTCCTCCCTGTCGCGCCTTGCACGTGTCGGTAAGGCGGGCTGGGCGTGTCGCTTGAGAGGTCCTTACCACTTGCAGCCCTGAAGCTTACATGTTGAGCACCTGTCACGGATATGCGGCGGGCCGTTTCCAAAATGCGGTTCTGGCCTTGGCGTTTCGCACATTCGCCTGACACGTTTGCAAGAGCATCGCCGATGGAGGGCGATTAGTTATCTTCGCCTTCCGCCGCCCACATTCGTTTCAAAATGTCTTACAAACGAGTGGAGGTTTGGCAATTGTCGAAGTATAGTTCTGGCCTTAGCGCCACGCAGATTCGCCTTACCAGAACCGCTTGCAGGGGGGTCGCGACGGACGGCGGGTAGTTTTCAAAGTGTGGCCCTTAGAGCCGCGCACAATCGTCTTAGCAATTCCCAAAAAGCTTCACGGACAGAGGGCGGCTGCCTTTCAAAATGCGGCTCCCGCCCTGCAGCCGTGCACATTCGTTTCAAAAGCTTGCGAGAATTGCTCCAATTCAGGATTTAGCGCATCGCACAATGGTCGTAACAGTTTGCAAAAGCTGCACCGGAGTAGAGTGGGCGGTTGCTACATGTGGTTATCGCCGCACCGCCGCGAGCTTTCGTTTTCAAATCTTGCTATTCCATCAGAGAACAAACAATCAATGGATGGTTTGAAATATGGATATTGAGATCGATTGTGAGATCTATAGTGAGGTCGATCGTGAGACCGATAGTGAGGTCGATTCAATGAGATCGATCGTGAGGTCGATCGTGAGATCGCTCGTGGGTTCTATAATGAGATTGATTATGGCATCGGTAATGAGATTGATTGTGAGATCGGTAATGAGATCGATACAGAAACGGGTAATCAGATCGATGGTGAGACCGATCGATAAAACAAATCAACCAAATACCTGGGATCCCACATACCTAGCCGCCCACCGAAATCGGCCCGAACCCAGAACCGGCAACCCGGAAATCCGGAACAGCGAACCCGGGAACCCGGTCGCCAACCGGGGAACCCGCGAACCAACACAGCACCAAGTGACAAGAGGAGCCGGTTCATAATAGTTTGGCATACGACAACACTGGACCTGCCACTGGTCGTGCAAGTGGCATGGGAAGCGAGCGCGTATCGAGACTCACAGGACGGCAGAAAAAGAGGAGGGCTGAGGCCCACGGCTCGAATAAGGAAGGGGGTGGGAAAGGGGGTGGGACAAGGACGGAAGAGGGGCCGAGCAGTTCACGCGACAGCAGCAGAGAGACGGCGAAGTTGGCAGAAGACGGCAACAACATAAGCAGGATGAGGACAAAGAGCGGCGGCCATTTCTGAAGGGGCCCTGGGACACACAAATAAATACACACAAATAAAAGGATTCCCCATATTTTCCAATATTTTCTGGGTTTTTGTCTTCCCGCCCAATTTCCATATTTCCCCACAATTTCTGGGGAATCGACGATTAATTGTGTCTGTGTGTTTTTTCCCCTCCTGAATTTCCTACTGGCACGCTGGACAAGCAGAGCGGCCCGCGCCAGGGCACTCCTGCGCTCGGCTCGTGCAAGCAGCGGGCGAGGCCGACCCACCAGGCTCTCCGCTTAGGAGGAGGAGGAGTCGGAGGGGGAGGAGGAGGAGGAGGAGGAGGAGGAGAAGGAGGACGAGGAGGAGGAAGATGAGGAGGAGAGGAGCAACGCACCACTAAAGGGAGTCCGAGTCACGAACACCCACAGGATCGAAAAGAAGGAGACAAAGGAATGCCTCGAAATCAGGGAAGTTCCTTCCTGCGCCGCGCAATGCGACAGCTAAACGCCCGCAGGCGGGCCGCAAGGTCTTCCGCGTCACTCAGCTGACCCTCCGGCTGACAGCCCTCGACCGTGGCGACAAATCGCAGATCGCACCCCGAACGATGGCTAAGTCGAATCTACATCCGCGTAGGACGTCACTATGCTGGACTCCCCTATCAGCCCTCGAAAGTGGCGACATTCTGACGGACCTCAGCCCCCCTTCCCAGGGATAGTGAGGTCGAATCTGAATGTGCACAGGAAGTCACGTTGCTGGACCCTCCAGCATCCCCAGAACGTGGCGACAGCTTCGCTGACCGCAGCCCCCTCGGGGATGGTGAGGTCTAAGCCGAATGTGCGCAGGACGTCACTTTGCTGGGCAGCCCTGCAGCGCTCGAAATTGGCGACAGTTCCGCAGTTCAGATCCCCTGGGGATTGCGAGGTCTGATATGAATCTCCGTATGACGGCACGTTGCTGGACCCACCCAGGCAGCCCGCGGACGTGGCGACAGTGTTGCAGATCGCAGCCCCCAGGGATGGCGAGGTCTATTTTGAACCTGCGTCACTAAGCTTGACCCCCCAAGCACGCCCCGAAAAGTGGCGACGGTTTCGCATAGCGCCGCCCCCCAAAGGATGGTGAAGTCTAAGCTGAATCTGCGTAGGACGTCGCGCTGCTGGTCCCCTCGGTAGCCCTCGAAATTTGCGATAGTTTCGCAGAGCGAAGCAAAGCAAGAATGATGAAGTCCAAACTGGATCTGCGTAAGACGTCACTATGCTGGACACCCCAACAGCGCTCCAAACTGGCGACACATTCCGCAGATCGCGGCCCGCAAGGATGGTGAGGCCGAACCTGAATGTGCGTAGGACGTCATCTTGCTGGGCCTCGAAAGTGGCGACGGCTGCGCAATTCGCATCCCTCCCCCCCGGGATGATGAGGTCGAATCTGAATTTGCGTAGGGCGTCACGCTGATGGACCCCCCCCCCCGCAGCCTTCGCCGCAGCCCTCCAGGGATGGCGACGTCGCGCAGGACGGCGAGGCTGACAGGCAGGCCAGGGCAGACTGGCTGGCATGCAGAACAGGGCAGGCGGAGGTCGAAGGCGGGAGGGACGAGAGGAAGAGGGAGGCGGGGGCGACCGCAGTGCTCTGTCGAAAACGAGAGCCCAACGCAGGAGGTTTGGGACTGCCGCAGATTCGGTAAGGTAGACGTCCCAAGCACAGTGTCCTGGCACGGTGTGCGATTGTCAAGGCGCAACAATCACGCTGATCTGGGGTGCTTACGTCCCAAATTCGGTGTTTCAACGCGATGCAGGATCGTCAGGGCGGAACCGTAACGTTGATCCGCGACGTTGAAGTCAAAGGAGTTGTGCTCAGACACGGTTCACGTTCTCAGACTGTTGTTTTCCAACGGTGCACTTCCAGCAGTGACAATAATTGCCCGTGAGGGCATCTGAAAAAGGGACGTGGGCCAAACAGATGTTGCAACATCGTTGATACGTCTTGGGCTGACACTGGCTAGTCCTGTTCCTCCTGCTCCTCCTTGGCTGCGCAGGAACCTTCGCAACCGAATGAGGGATAGACAGGCGCACCCTCAGTCCCCCCTCCATAGTTACACATGGTAACCAGCGTGATACCAAAACAAAGTGCATCTAGCAATGTATGATGTGCCATTTATGTGGAACGAACCACGCAGTGCAATACAATTGGCGAAGTATAAGTTGTCCAACCCATGTGGTAAACCACATGGTGAGCAGCATATATATAGTTTTATATATATATACACATCGAAGAACCGCAGCTTACGTAATACAACTTATGTGGTGCAATCGGCGTTGTGCAATATATGTGCACGTGGTGGTAACAATGTGGTGCACGACATGTCGTGCAAACAATGGTATGCAACCTATGCGGTGCAA